CAGTTTCCTCCCCATCCCTAGCCCCTACATGGTCAGAAGAGATCTTCCTATTTCAGTCATTTTTGGTCTCCTGAACCAAGCTCCATCCCCTGCAGATGTTGTGATCACAGCCACTTTATCACCATTAGCCCACATCCCATGAGGTCTGGATGGCAAAGACACAACCTCAAGGTTGGAGGAAGGGGAGGTGCAATGCTCCAGAGAAGTATGAGAGCGACTGTTCAGGGTAAACTGATAAGATGGGGATGAGGGTCTGCAGGACTGTATGGTGAGGGTGCAGCAAGGTTCAGCACCGCACTACGTTGAGCATGGAGGAAACAAAGATACAGCCAAAAAGAGACAAGATAAAAAATGAAAAGAATAGTTTTTGGCTTGTTAGACTTTTTTTGTGGTTTTTTTTTTTTGATTGTTGTTGTCATCATTTTTGTCTACAACAGGATGGTGGAGAGGTGTCTTCACAGAGATGCAAAAGCAGGTGAAAGCATGCAGATGGCACACACACCTTCTGTTAGGCGGGCAACCCTGCAGTAGCGTGATCTGTTTTCCAAGCTGTGCACAGGGAAAACGAAGAGTTTGCAGGTGGAGGAGAATCCCACTTCACCCTTCTTGTACCTGGTCTACCCAGGTACATGGAGCTCTTGGGCCTGTGCTCAGCCTCTCCAAAGATTTCTGGGCTTCAGTTTAACCCTTCTAACCTTGGGCATTTAGGACGAGGTGGAAGTGATAGAGTGAGTCTGGCCTTGGTTTGCCCAAGCCCTAGCAAGGCAGAAAAGCCCTTAACATCTCACTGCAGAAGTGGAATAACACCATACCTCTCTGCAGCTGCTGTTTGCAGAATGTGGCCCCAGCAGGTTGCTTTAGGTCCCAGATGGCAGATCTTGAGACCCTGGGAGATACTGCGTTCCAAAGGAGGACCTTCATCTCATCCTCGGGAGACCTGAGCTTTGCTCTGCTCTCCGACACATATACGTCTATGCCTTGCTCTCCTGTCTCTGTGTGGTAATGTTTCAACCTCACAGAGGTGTCGTGAAGTTTAATTAGCTCCAGGCAAAGCCCTTTGAGATCCTCAGATGAGAGATGCTGCAGAAGCTCAAAGTATTAATTTAACATTATTAAAATAATTGGTTAGTGGATGGTGAACAGAGGGTTAGTGTTAGCGGTATTTATTCTTAATGGGAGATGAAGAAATAACATTCCTCATGGTTCAGCGGTAGGACCAGTTTCTTAGTGTTTGTATTAATGGTTTGGACAAAAGCAGGACACTTGCAATTGCTAAAGATGCAGCTGATAATGAAATAGCAGGTGTTATTAAGACGTACAGAGAAGTGCCGTGTCTACGCCATAAACTTATGCAAATAGGTTCAGGAGTGGAAAATGCTCTTTTAGGTGTCTTAAGTGTAACGTGATGCCACTGGGTGGGAGTTACGCATCAGCTAATTATAGTATGAATAGCACTGAATTAGGTTATATGGCAGTGGAAAGTGATCTCGGCATATTGACAGACCCAGCATGTTAGAGTCACCGGTATTTTATTAAAGTGAAACAGTTATTGGCAGTACAAGGCTTTCTTTTTTTTTTTTTCTTTTTTTTCTGCATAAGCCATAATAGACGCACCAGATGAGAGCGCAGCAGAGTCGCAGCAATCTCCCAGGGCCCAAAGTACATGCTGACTCTCAACAGAGACAACAGAAATGATTAGTTGGGGTTGGGATATTTCATTATCCCTTTCACAGTCCAGCTGCCGTGCGCAGGCAGCTGCCTTCCAGGTGACCACTTTTCTAAGGCACGCACTTGTGTCTGGAAGTACTTATTTATTAAAAGTCCCATTTGTCTCTATTTAGAATTTGCTGAAGTTACTTTTTGGGCTACAACGTCCCCTCTGGGCAGCTGCCTTTAGCCACTGGGTGTTTTGCTGTGTTTGTTTCTGAACACCATTCAGGGATTTGAGAGGCTCATGCTGGAGGGTAATACTTTGCCCTGTACATGCTGAAACAATTTTCTCTGCTCTTTTCCCCCCACTCTTGGAGGAGGGCAGAACATTTTTGGCAGTGCGGAGGAGGACTGGAGGGAGAAGGTTACTTTATGACAGGTCTTTTTCTGCTCCCTTGAAAATTTGCCACATTTTGCCTCTGAAGAACCTCAGTTGCAGGTGCTGGCCGGACACCTGGGAGCACGTGGTGTGTAAACCCACAGGATGCTCCATGTGCTTCAGCTCAAGTTAGATAAGGTGGTCAAGGAAGAGGAGATGGAGGAAACCAAAAGGTTCTGGAGAAGAGCCCCCATCACTCCTTTCTGCATGGACAAGCCTACAAAACCCACTGGCAGGTGGCTCCATCCTTTTAGTCTTGATTTATGCAGCAGCTGGGACCAGTTATCTGGGATGAATTAAGCTACTAGATCAAGGAACAGGGCTGTGACATGAACTCCAAATCCTGAACCCTATCGGTGACCCAGACCCCAACTCAGTTTGTCTTAGGTTGGCAGAGCTCCCCCAGCATCAGACTCAAGCACCAGGCACAGTTGGGTGTCTTGGGCCTTTTTCCTCCGCTTTGTTTTATATTGAGAAATCGCATTGAGAAAGTCAGACAGTCAAAGTCAAAAGTTAGGAAGTGGCGGAATTGAGGTCACCCATAGAAAAAAAGGAATAATAATGTGTGATCCTGTAATTAAAGTCTGGCTTGCAGTATTGTCAGTGCAGGGAGTGCAGATTTAGGAGTGCAGAAGCTACTTTCGCTCTAATTCCTGGGAGCCTGACACTGCATCCTTAACATTATATTAAACCCAGGCTTAGTTTGGTTTGATTTTTCATCATTTGATTATTTGGATGGCAGCACACCTTACTACAGATATCAAGGCTGCAAGATGCATCCATCTACTACAGGGTGAGTTTTTGGTCTGAAGAGTTACATGTCTTAAATGTGCGTGAGCATTAAAGAGCAAGATAAGATGCTGATTATTTCTGCTCAGTGGTGGGGCTGGGAGTATAAACCGCATTCCTGGATGCTTAACCTATACCCATGTGTTGTCTTCCTGAGCAAATGTGCTGGGTGTGTTTGCAAACTACTATGCTATTACACTTGAACCAAGCCTGGGCATCTGCCTGTTTAATTTTAGAAAATCCAGACGTTTCTGTTGTGCTGCAGCCGGAGGAAATAAATGGGAGGTAGCAGGACATCTTGAAGAATTTGGGCGCTTGTGTTTTGACACTGAGCCCAAAAGGGTTTCCTTCCAAGCTATTCTCAGGAGAGGAGTTCCCACGCCCTGCAGAGCTTTGATGGGATTGCTGTGTCTATTCGTTTTAGAGAAGTGCTTACAAAAATCTCAGGTCTGCATTTTGCCGTGATTTTCATTCTGGGATAGGGGACTTACTTACAGTTTTGGGAATAGTTAATGGTCTATCCATCCAACCCTCTGGAGAACGCACATTTAAAATTCCTGATCCAGCATGCGGCAGCGCTAGAGGAGACTTAATGGGATGAAGGCTCTTAGGGAACGGAGAGTGGGAGCTGCAGTGCTGCTCTTGCTCTCTCAAATCTGCAAAGCAAACCAAGAGCACGCTGAGAACGGCAGAGATCTCCCTTTTATGATTACTGCCACTGGAAATACAAAACTTTCCTTCGCCAGAAAGAGGGAGCACTTTGAGTTTCAAATTGGGGTGCTCGTTTTATCTAGCATCAGCTGCTAGAGAGAAGCCAAGCCCTAAAGTTTTAGGCCAGTCCCCAAACTTTGCAATATTCAGGCTCAGCCATACATGGAATTGCTTTTCTGTGTGTTGCCTTAGATCCCTGTCTGCAAATCCCTATGCGTATAGGCGCAATCTCTGCTCCGGGGAGCAAGGACATTGAGGGGTGATCTTGGAGCTAACCCTCCAGCAGCCCCCGTGTGCTCTCACAACTAAGACTCCGAAGTCTGGGAGTGGGTGAATAATTTAACATCCGCACTTAGTCTTTAAAGCTGACTTTAATGGGGGGTAATAGCACTGCTAATAACAAAATCCATTGAAGACACCCTGTGCAAGTCCATAACATTAGCTTAATGGCAAAAGGTAATTGGCATGCAGTTGGAGCTGTCCTTTTGTATTAACCCTGTGGATTTCTAGGCAGACATCTTCCTTGAAGCGATGGCCTTGGCAGTGCATGTGGAGTAAAATACAGATGCATTTTATGCTAAGCAAATGCAAATCTGGATTGAAACAGGGTGCACTGCCACCAATTCACATTGCTGGCTCGTGCTTACGCTGGACAGACGAGACAAGAGACAGTGACAGTGCTGGAAGCCTTGACAACAACTGCTGCGTGGTGTAAGCTTCATAGGCTTGTGTAGCCCAGATGCCATGCACCCACCAATTTCACTGAAGTCTCACTAATTTTTTAAGAATTTTTAAGATTCAGAATTTTTTAAGATTCAACTCTAGGTGCCTCCAGTCAGGCACTTTCAAACCAGATGCCAAAAAAACTTCAACCTGCCTGGGATGACTTAGTGGCTGCTGGGCAATGGATTGGAGGGGCAATGGATTGCCCCTTCCCAGCGGAGAGGTACCAGTAGCCCAGAAGTACCACAGATTGCAGTCTCCTCAGCAGGACCAAAGAGTATGGACTATACACAGGTACTCTAAAAGGACATCCCTGTGTAAGATGTCCCACTGCTCTTGGACAGGACAATTTTCATGGCTGCCAGGGGAAGGTTACCCTGTACCGGCGATGTGGGTAGAGAGACAGAGCATCTCTAGAGCTGTGCATCCAACCCAAGGGGTGGGGCTTTCACCCAACATGCCTCTTCCTTTCCTGGTGTCCTTGTAACTCTCCGGCCTGCTGAGCAATCCCACGGCCACTGGCACTGGAGTCAGAGCATGAGTGTGGTTTTCCAGCTAGTGCGGTCTCAAAGGGTACGGTGTTGACTTTCCATCCAAAAGGATTGCTTCTTCTATGTCCCAGGGTTGTCCTCACCCTCCCAGCCTGGTTCTGTGTTAACTCTGTCCCTCTTTGTTCCCTTTTGCTCAGGTGCACGAGGAAGGAGCGATGTGAACGCTCCAGCGAACCTCGGAGATTCGCCTCAGAGATGAAGCAGTGTGTCCGGCTTACCGTGCATCCCAACAACATCTCCGTCTCCCAGTACAACGTATTGGTGAGGAACATTAATCCTTGTCTCCCTCAGGTTTAATCTGCCCATGCAGTTTGACAGACCCGGGTACGTGCAACCTGGGTCCAGCACAAGTGGGGAGGACTGACAGCTCCATGCATGAACTTCTCCAAAGCCCATTACCTTCCCTAGCAACTTTCCTGGCACAGAGAAAGATTTGCCATGGGAGGACATTTTGGCCTTGGTTATCCCCTGTCTAGAAATGTGGAAGAGGTTTCCCTGTTTGCTGTGAGGAGATGAGGACAGGTCTGAAGGGACTCTGTGCCCTCCAAGTGCTGTGTGCATAGAGTGTAGTTGTTAACTTCCTTGTAAAAGGGCTTTTCATATGGCTGGGCATGGACTTTAGGAAGAAACATTATCATGAAATAATGAGACAACCTTCTAGGATAAGGACAAGTGAGGGACACCATATGTTATTTCAATAAGCTCCAATTTGCTGTCACCTTGTGTAGAAATGTGTCTTTCTTAAGCCACCAAGAGCTGCACCCTGCTGCAGCTCCAGCACTGAGTACGCGGAGCAGAGAGGCAGGATGCTATGCAGAGGAACGTAAGGCTGCCAAGGTTCATGCTCACATGTGACCTTTCTCAGCACAAAGCTTAACCTTTCTGGCCTTGAGCTACTCAAGTCAGCAGCTGACATACGCCACACAGTGAACACTCGGGGAGCAGCAGATGACCATGATCATTTGAGACAAGAAATCTCTACTGAAGATCTAACCAGTTTGTGGTTTATCTCCCAACTCATGACAGCAGTACCTTTTGTGGTGAGATCCCAACACCCTCTGAAAAGGAGGCAGAGACATATTTTGTTCAGGCTACTGGGGCTCTGTCCTTTTCACCATACTAGTTTGGACTGGAATTGAGTTGATAACCCAGGGCCCAGGAGCTCCATCTCTGGATGAGTTGTTCTCTAGCCCCACATGCTGAAAGGTCTAAATGGTGTTGCTGAAGGTGCAGCTGCCAGACATCTTCCAGGTGACAGGTTTGGGGGTGTTAGGGTTTCTTCAGTGATAATGAAATCAGCCTTTCAAAGCCTGGATGTCCAATCATTGCTGCTTTGTTTCAGCCTCTTAACTTTGCTGTGACTTTACTTTCCTAGGCTTCAAACAAAACTGATCTGAGACATCTTGAGTCCTTTGTTCTTCTGGGAGTTCAAGGTTTCTTTTTCTTATTCTCTCAGTAGTCATTGAATTCTTTCATGTTGGAATAAATCCTGGGGGACTAGCTGGCTCAGGGTGATTGAAATCGATAACAGAATAAAAGACCTTTACCTCTAGGTTACTCTGGCAGGGCAAGTCAGCCCAGAGCTGCTGGGATCAGAAGTTGCCACCATCTGACTGTTGCCCAATAACCGCAGGAACATTTCGATGGGAGTCTCAGCCCAATTCCAGATAGGCTGATGTCCCAGCTCATACCCAGTCACCACAGCCAGTCTCTTGGCAAATCAGGAGGGCAGCACCAATGAACAAATGGCTGGTGGTGACCTTGTTGAGTCTCACTTGGTTTCTATCAAAAGGTCAATGATATTGAGCTCTTCACCACAGAGGCAGAGAAGGTATCTGTGTGGCCAGACAATCTTTTAGACTTCGGGCACTAACAGAGACTTGGAAAATTGTATCTGAGTCTGTTTCGGTCCGGGGACTTGGAAAATTGAGCCTGTTTCAGTCCAGGGCTGCTGCTCTGGGATGTCTGAAGAGACATACTTGCTGGGGAAGGCTCCGTTCATCCCTCATCACAGCAACTCCAGAGCAGGAGTGTGAGATGTAGGACTTCTCGTCTGTTCAGAGTGTGTACTGGCTCATGATATTTGTTGCCAAGCACTACTGGTCTGTCCATTGGTGTCATCTTCAGCATGGCACATCTTCATTCTGCATTGCCCATGCTCAGAGAGAAACATTTGTTAAGCAGAGTAGTCTCCCTTTCTCCATTGCTAGCAGTGTATTAATGAGCAGGCAGAATGGATTTAACCTGAGTGCTAAATCCATCCAAATAACCAAAGCTTTTTCCTATTCCCCATCCAACGTTTAAAAAAATTTTAAAATAAAAACATTACCTTTTCCATTGCCATTCCCATTGCCCAAAAATGAACATATTCTCACAAAGGCATTATGTCAGGCAGGGCTAAGGCCTGTCTGCTCAGCCTTTCTCCCTGATGGTGCCCAGTGTGAAGAAATAACTCCAAGCCTTCTCTAACTGAGGAAAACACAATGTGGGGGAACAGTAAGCATTATGCTACGTTATCATCCTCTCCTGCTTTGTCACCTGGACTGACCTCCTCTATTCTTCGTGCTGGTAGAAACAACACTTGAGCATGCATTTGTGTGTCCTTTCGGTGACCGTCACCTCAGATGGGGCCTAGTTCACGGAGGAGGCAAGTGTGGAGAGCATTTGCATTTGTGCCCATGACAAGTGGCTGACTCCAGTGGTTGGTCACAAAACCTCTAAATTTAGTTAGTAGGTCGTCAGCAGGTGCTAGAAGTACCCTGGGATGCCTCTTTGTGTTCAGACATGGTTTGGTGGGTTGGGCAGGACCCTCAATGATGGAAAGCAGTGGCGCAAGACCTTAGTTGGTCTGGGAAGTTAACCACATGAGGGTCCTTCTCCAGACAATAAACTTGGTGAAAACCAGCCACAAAAGTCCTCTCCTTCATGACCACAGCCAATGATATAGCAATGCCAGTGGGTGTTGTGAACCCTAAAAACATGGGTAATTTCTCCTTCACAGGTTTTTTTTTAATGTATGGCAGCCCACAGCATGTTTCCAGGGCCAACTGCTTCTTTGGTGGGATGGGCAGGAGAGGTTTGCTGTGCCTCTAGAGACATCGTCTTTTTGTGGTGGACTGAAGGCTGTAACTAGACTCTCCTTATACAGGAACTTGGTGACAGAGCGCTCCCCCATCTGCTGATGCTAGGAGAGCAGGCCGTAGAGAGTTAGACTGGAGCGCTACAGTTTCTCTGTAGTCTGCAGAGTGCCTCTTGTGAGTAGTAGTCACCTTCCTCAGAAACCGCGTGCCTTGGGGCCACCAAAGCCCTGGTCTTCACAGCTGGCCCCAAAGACTCCCTGCCTAACCTTACACTTGCATGACAGATAGTGAGCACTCCCCCTTCTCCACTGACCCAGCCAGCACTGGGATGCAGTGCAGTTGTCCCTGCATAGCCACGTACCACTTGTGTTGGCATCAGCATCTCATCCCCTTCCCCCTCCGCACACACATCCCTCTCCTGAATCGCTGCTTTCTGTTGAAGGAGGATGCTCTCTCTAGCAAGAGGCTCTTTGTCCAACCTCTCCAGTGTAATTCTCTCCTGCTGACCCAGCTCTGTTGTTTGGCTTAGTATTCTCTCTTTTCTTTTTTTTTTCTATCTCTTCTTCCCTCCCTCCATCTTTGTTTGCAGCTGGTCTTGGAGACTTACAATGTCCCCGAGCTGTCAGCAGGAGTCAACTGCACCTTCGAGGACCTTTCGGAGATGGATGGCTTGGTGGTGGGCAGTCAGATCCAATGCATCTCGCCGGCTGCCAAAGAGGTGCCCCAGATCATCACAGAGAACGGTGGGTATCCCACAGCTCCTCCGTCTGCACCACTTCTCCCTCCTTTCCCCACCCCACACCCCTGGGCCTCTCCTTTTTTCTCTCAAAGCAGAGTTTGGCTCATGGGACCCTGAGGACAGAGTATGCAAAACAGAGGGAGTGAGGGATGCTGTGCTGGTACTCTCTGGCGGAGCTGCACAGCAGTGCATCGTACCATGAATTGTCTCATAAACACACACACGTGTGTGTGTGTTTATGTGTGCACGCGTGTGGAAGCGTTGTGCTGCAGTACCAGTACCTGTGTTAAGGTGCTTATATGTGTGACAGTATGTGTTTTCAGACTGCCACCGAGTGGCAGTTACATATATCTAGAAAAGGAAAGAGGTGATGTGGGATATTTGCTCACCTTTTGCCCAGGCTGGTGTCGTACAACCCAGGGAATGAGGCTGTACAAGCTCTCAACACATCCCATCATCTGCAGCAGCCAGGAAGTCCTGAAGACCTGAACAATCCTGTCTGTAGTTTCATCCTGCTTCTCCCAGATTTAGACCTGTATGCTCAGTTCCTTGTCTCCATCCATGGTTTTACTGCCTTCAACTGCTACGGGTTTGTTACTGGCTCCCTCTCTCAAAGTGGTCCAGCGCAGAAATAACTTGCCTCCAAGGATGGTGTGTGTGTGTCCTTCTCTACCCAACTTCCTGACCCTTTTTTGTTTCCCTTTTCTACCAACTTTTCTCAGCACTTTCAAGAGCGTCTGTGGCTCCTTGCAGGGACTTGGTATAAAAACCTCGACCCAACTGATCACCCCAAGAAGCGCAGAGAGGATGCTGCCATTTTTGTCCTTGGCTTCTTGAGAAATTTTAGTGTAAAGTTTGTCTCTGAGGATCCTCAGGCCACAGAAAATGAAGTGACACAAACTGTCACCATCACCTCTGCTCTCCCCAAGCTGCACACAGCTGCATGTGCTCTCCATTGCGGTTCCAAAACAAGCCCCTAAGGGGCTGTTACCATTTCCAGGTCCCACCGAGTTATCAGTCATGTTTGCCTACCAAGAGAGATGCCAGAAATTATTTCCTTGGTGTGGACATCTGTCCCAGGCCAGGCTATAATCAACCAGCAAACAAAAATAGCTGTGGAAGCTGGAGGCAGGACAAGAGAGAGAGATTTAAGTGAAGCACAGTTTCCAGAGAAGCTGGGCACCTGCGGCTTGTATCAACTTCAGCAGCTGGTGCTCCGCACCTCTGCAAAGACCAAGTCCTCCATGCATAGTGCCAGAAGCTGGATTTCAACCAAAGGATGTGCAGCTCTGTAGCACATCTGATCCCTGGAGCCATCCAATCCTCACATCCTGTTTTAAAATATATGCAAGACGCTGGCAAAGTTGTTAAATACGAAGCGGTTAACAGAGCTGTCAAAGCCGGCGGCAGCAGATGGGCAGCAGAGTCGAGCACTGGCAGCAAAACGTGTTTAGCAAAGTGTGTGGTGTCTGTGTGCGTGTGTGTGTGTGTGCGCCTGTAGGTGGGGGAGCGTGCACGCGGGCGCACGCTGCGACAAATTGTCAGGTTTGCTTTAGCCTGATTGATTAATGAATCTTTCAGGTGAGGAGGAAAATAATAGAGGTGAAAGGGCCAGTCAGGTTCAGTCTTGAATGAAACATGGGTCCCTTCCCCACCAAATTACTTCAATTACTGCACCCACTCATTACCCACAACTGATGAGCTCTGAATAGGGCTTTTGGCATTGTGGGAAGAGGTACCAGTTGACATCTCTGTATGGGAGTGGTAGGAAAGGGAATGAGGAGATGGTGCGTAGGAGCTGAGGAGCAGTCTTTGCTGTGGATGGGTCTGCTATGGATTAGTAGGAAATGGATTAGTCCTGGCTGAAGTGCAATGTCTTGTGGATGTCCCTCACACCAAGCTTTGTAGCTGAAGGCTTGGGTGAATGGACCTTGGGAAGAAGGGCGTGAGTGAACTTGGAAAGTCCCTGTTCACATGGGAATCTCCCTGTTTATCGGCATTTCCCAGGCTGCAGATAGGGAGCCCCTACCCTGTCCTCATTGTTATGGTACCTATCCTCCTTGCTCATTCCTCCATCCTGCTTTGTCAAGGTATAGCCTTTTTTGGGGGGGCAGGACCTGGAGGTGGCCTTCTTCAGGCATGGTTGTCCTGGATATTGGACCCTATTCAGAGATGTTAAATAATGAGGGTGAGGAGAAAGTAGATCTTTCTTTATCCTCTCAGGAAAGCAGTTATGTTTATTATACTTCAGGCAGTGTACGCACAGACCATAAATGTTTGGGTCCAGCAGTCAAATCTTCCACAGACCCCTTCCTTCTGGGGATATCAAATGAACCAGCAGCAAGGAAGAACTTTTAAGGACAGTACTCCATTTTAACGGCCAACTAATTCCAGACATCTGTGTCCTCTCTTTGAGCTTAGCTTTCCTACTTGATGACTTCAGTCACCGTATTTTTTTAAATTAATGAGGTATGGTCTAGACCTGTCATCATCACCCAGACTCTGCTCACAGGTATGAT